AGAACTCCCATTGCTTTACAAACACGTTTCACCTTACAGCTGGACACCGTCTCTCCACCACCAGTTTGTTGGGTAAATCTGTGGTGGCTGAGCCCCTCCCAGGAGCAAGTTTGTTATGGTGGTGTGGCTTGTTTTGAAGAAACATCCTCCAAATCAGGGAACAGAGCCCAATTTGGGAGGTGGGGGAGTCACTGGGAAGGTGGGAAGGGCAAGATACCTTGGCAAGATTTAAGGCTGCCTGTTTCTCTTTGAAAGAACCGCCCCAGATAGAATTTTATTTAGTTTGCAATATCGTTAGAGGGCGGACACAAGGGTAAATGTTAGTTCTCAATCCAAAAAGCTGCAGAACTGGGAACTTTTGGCACTGATCGGTAAAGAAGTACATACAATCAAATTACCACATGTCTTCAGAGAAAATTTGACTTTCTTAAGGGGAAAAAAAAACAACTATAAAAGTCAAGGTAGCACAAGATAATTTAACAATCTACTCAACACACGACAGACATAGGTGTATGTACACAACCTTATCGTTAGAGACTAAAGCTCTGCTACCAGTGTCCAATGAAGAGAATTCGTTTAAGCAATTAAGCAAAATGCTCTAGAATAATTGTGTGATTAGCCGATCCTATTATTTAATGGCGTTGAGGTTTTCTGTGTGTGTGTGTGTGTGTGTGTGTGTGTGTGCAGTTGTTTGGTTTGGTTTTGGTCTGAGTTATCTGGGCAATTGTCTCTATTTTCCATTTTAATCTGCCAAGGAAACTGGGCCCGGGTTAGGTGACCCGGTGTGGGTGACACCCGCCCGAGCTGCCGGCTCCGCCTCCCGCCCTGACAGACACGCGGATCGACTCTTCACTGAAAACCCGCCCCTTCCGTCCTCTCAGGCGCGGGCTTCCTCTCTCTTCCTGAAAGCCTGGTTCCACCTGCCGCTCCCCCTCGTCATTCAGGCCTCAGTTCCGCCGTCCGGCTTCTCCTTTTCCCAACTGCCGAAACGGTGGTCTCCAAGGCCAGCGAACGCGTCCACGTGGTCAGGCGTCGTGGCCCCTTGGCCGCCTCCTTCCCGCGGTTCATCTTCCGGCAGCGCCCGGCTCCGGAGGCCTCTGGGCTCCAAACCCCCTTTCACTTCCTTCGCGGCTCTTCTCCGTCCTCCAGGCTCCTGCACACAACACGCTTCCCAAGGGGCTGTTCTCGACCTTCTCCTTTCCCCCTCGAGGGGCTCACCCCCGACCGCTGCCGTCCCGTCATGGCGGCAACTCCCAAGCCTGGACCTCCAGTCTGACTTCTCGCACCTTTCAGACAGCTGGCCGGGACCTTTCTCCGGGCTTCACCAGCACCAGAGTCAAAACCAGAGTCATTCTCTGCCCCGGACAAAAGCCGCCATCCTCCGTTTTGCGGTGTTGCCTGCAGCCCCAGTCTCCGCAGCACAGTCGCCTCCTTCGTCTCCTCACGTCCTGAGCGCACCAACCGCGGGACCTGCCTTTCACCGCCGGGAGGTGTCACCCACCGTCCCTGTCGCTCCCTCGGCCCTGTCACCTCCCATCCGTACTCCCGGCACGGCCCAGAGACCCTTCCTAAGGCCGAGGTTCCGGTCCGTCACACCCCATTATCACCTCGCCCCGCCTTCTCCTCTCCTCCCGGGATACGCTCCACCTCGGCTCACGGCCCCACGTGGACTGTCTCCAGACCGCCCTCTGGTCCTGGTTTCCACGCCTCCTCCGCGTGCCCTGGCCAACCTGGGCCACGCTGTGCCCACGCTGACCCGCGCGCCCACCTCCACGGCTTCGCTCACAGGACCCCTTCTCCATCTTTGCCGACGAAACGTCACCTTCCCTTCGAGGCGTAAAGGCCATGGTGACGCCTTTACTTCCTCCTGCCCACTCAGCCCTCACCCGTGTTAGGCCCCCCAGAAGCTTGTTTTTTATCTAGAAGGTCACTTATTTAACCGCACTTGTACCTAAGCATTTTCAGGTTTGTCCTACTATTCTCCAAGGATTACATTCATGGTTTGAAAGCAGGGACTATGTTTCATCTTTCTACCCCAGCAGCACGGATACTAAATATACATTTGGAAATCAAGGGTAGGGTGCTGGTGTTTCTTATTCACCACTATTTCCCCAGCACCTGGCATACAGCAACTTCTTTGAATTAAGAAACTACGCTGAATCTCAGAATTGGCGCCTCAGAGACAGGTGCCCCTGTCCCCCCTCAACCCAGCTCCTGGCGGCCCCGCATTCACACCCACGATGCGGGTCTCCCGGAAGCTGCCCATCCAGCCCGCCGACTCCTGCACCGCTTGCTCGTTCTGCTGGGCCAGGTGGAGCAGAGCGTCCTCGATGGTCTCGGTGGCGACAGCTCCAAACTGAAACTCGCTCACAGAGGCCAATCTTGGCCTCCCACGTCCGTCCATTTTCAGAAGCCTTCGTGGACACCCCGACGGCTCACGAGACCCTTACACCGATCTCCTTGGCGTCACCCCAGAGCCTTCTGCCACACTCTGGTTCGTTCCCCTCTTCTGTCCTCGCCTCAAGGCTGAGGAAACCTCAATTTCCACCTCAGCCTCGAGCCCTCCACCGCCTTTTCCCGCCACAACGGCCGTGGACCCCTCAGCCAATCAGAAAGCACGTCCGTTTCACGTCTCCCCCGCCCTTTCCCTCAGACCGAGAGCCGCGCTCAGTTGGTGAAAGAAAACGCGAACTACAGCTCCCAGCGTCCCCTGCGGAAGCGAAGGGCTGCTATTCCCAGCAAGCTCTGCGCCCCCGGACTGCGAAGGGCGGAGCGGCAATATGGCGACGCCGGGAGCTGGTGACCGTCTGGATGCGAAGAGTGGAGAGGCCCCTCTGGCCCAGCGCATTGACCCGACTCGGGAGAAGCTGACTCCTGCGCAGCTACAATTCATGCGGCAGGTGCAGCTCGCCCAATGGCAGAAGACTCTGCCACAGCGGCGGACCCGGAACATCGTGACCGGCCTGAGCATCGGGGCCCTGGTGTTAGCTATTTGTATCCGCCTGGACTGTAGACTCAGGGAGACCGCATGTGGGGACAAGACAAGGGGAGCAGTGACGTGTCGAGGGCAGTATGGGGGTGGTAGAAAGAGCCTGATCTGGGAAAGTCTAACCTCGGAGCCAAGCGTTTAATGTATCTTACTCTGTCAGTTTAAGGTTCTATTTTTTTTAATATATTTTATTGATTTTTTACAGAGAGGAAGGGAGGGAGATAGTTAGAAACATCGATGAGAGAGGAACATCGATCAGCTGCCTCCTGCACATCTCCCACTGGGGATGTGCCCGCAACCCAGGTACATGCCCTTGACCAGAATCTAACCTGGGACCCTTCAGTCCGCAAGCCGACGCTCTATCCACTGAGCCAAACCGGTTTCGGCTAAGGTTCTATTTTAATATAATTCATTAAGAATAACAGGTCCGCCCTAGCCAGTTTTGCTCAGTGGATAGAGCATAGGCCTGGGACAAGAGTCCCGGGTTCAATTCCAGTCAAGGGCACATGCCTGGGTTGCGGGTCCTATCCCAGTAGGGGGCGTGCAGGAGGCAACCAATCAGTGATTCTCATCATTAATGTTTCTGATTCTCTCCCTCTCTGAAAAAAAAAAAAAAATAAGTAACGGGTCAGCCCACTGGCATGGCTCAGTGGTTTAGTGTTGACCTATAAACCAGGAGGTCAGGGCACATGCCCAGGTTGTGGGCTAGATCCCCAGTGGGGGGCGTGCAGGAAGCAGCCAATCAGTAATTCTCTCTCTAGATGTTTCTCCCTTTCCCTTCCTCTTTGGAAAAAAAAAAAGAATGGGTCAGGGCTTGGAAGAACAGAGGGCTACAGAATTAGGAGGATGAGAGATTAAGAAGTGGTGGAAGCAAATCTAGGAAAAGGGAATGTGCATGTTCCAAGTGGTTTCCCTAACCAGCCTCCCCAGATGGTTACACCTTCTACTCAGTGTCCCAGGAGCGGTTCCTAGATGAGCTGGAGGATGAGGTCAAAGCTGCTCGAGCCCGAGCTGCGGAAAGGGCTTCAGGCTCCTGATCTAGTTGGGCATGGCACGTCTCTAACCTGCTCGAGCCCCTTCCCATGATGGATGATGCCCCATGACCTGTAGAAGCTGAAGCCTGCTCATAGCATTGCTGGCCACCTTACTCACCTTGGACAATGATCAGTCCCAAGAAGCCAGGGATTTACACAGTTGGCCATCATCAAAGGAACATTGCCCACCTCACACTTGCTATTTGTGGTAGCTGAGCCCTTATCGCTTGTTTTGTTTGGGTTTTTTTTGCAAGTTATCTAACCTTGGCTTTTCCCAAATGTTCTGACTTTGTGGTTTATCCCCTTCACTTCCCAGGGGCCGGGAGGAAGGAAGATAAGAGGTGGGCTGTTATGGGAGTGGGCATGGCAGCTCTGTGCAGTGTTGGAGACTAGGAAAGATGGGGTCAGGTTGAGAATAATAAACTGAGTCATCTCTCTTGGAGTCAGGTGAGTGTGTTGGGGTTGACACTTCATGCTGGAAAGCTCCACGGGCAGTAGCTGCAGCATAGTGGCATTGCCCCAGGGAGCCGTAAATGTTTAACTAGAATTACTTTTTCCGTGAGATCTTTCCACCTGATTTAAGGGAGAGCTCATGGTGGGTCACTGGGCTGTTTGAGACTGAACCACATCTTGGGGGAAGAAAGGTCACTCTGTCCTTTACCCTACAACACCCTACAACTTTATTGCCTTTCCCACCCTAGAGAGAAAGGTAAATGAAGGATAAGGGACAGCTTTCATTTTTTTTTTTTAACTTCCATTGGGGCCTGCCTGTGCAGGCCTAAAGGTGGGATCGAGATGTTGAGGTGGATCACTGACTTTGCAGTTTCCTCATGAACTGCTGGCAGGAAGCCAGAAGGCTGGGCAGCTTCTAGCCCTGCCTCCTATTGTGAGAGGAGATTCCCTTCTAAGTCCTCCCCTTCCCAACCCCATAAGCCTTTGCCCCCAGTTCTCAAGGTCTGACAGATACAAATTTGGAGTCTGAGTTTCCAGCATTTTTATTGGCTGTTAATTCCGGTGTCCACTTGCCCAGCTGGGAGTGTGCCCTGTGAAAGCATCTGCGTTTGGGTGGGATTGCTTAGTGGTTGGTTCTTGGCTGGGGAGGTAGCAGGCTGCAGAATTTATACTTTCTACACACAGCAAATAGTTCTCACATGCTTGGCTTTTCCCTATAATGGAACAGCACTCTCCGTGCCCCTTTGTCCTTCTACTCCCTCAGTGCTGAGGTCTTCCTTGCAGAGTTGTACTGATTAGCAGATTCTGAGAGCACAAGCTCCATGGTGGGTCCTGGTGTGGGGGAGACGCATGGCTTCTATTCTGAATTCACTGGAGGGAAAAGAAAAAGCACTGAAGAAACCTCCAGGGTGGACGGAGAGTGAAGCTACAGCCAGATACCATTCCCTGGACTCTCCCTCCCTTGGGCCCGCCCTCACCATCCTGCCAACATCCCCGGCGAATGTCACCCCCTTGCTTGCCCGCTGCTCCTGGGAGCCGGTGCTGCTGCCACTCAGGGAGTTCCTTCGTATGATGCCTGGGTGTAGGATGGGGAGGGAGAGCACTAAGTGAGGGAAGGGGCCACGGGGAGAAGGGGGCTAGTCCCCCCAAACCAAGGGCAGACCCCCAGGGCCTGAAAGAAAGCTGCATCACTAGGGAAGAGGACTGGAAAGCCGGAACCTGGCAACTGCAGTCTCACCAGGGCCTGGGGGCTCGGAACGCTGCAGGCTGTTGCGTCGGGATGTGGGGAAGCTACCCTTGGAGAGGCGGCGCTGGCGGCTGGACAGCATAGCAGCAGGGGCCACGATACCCGGTGGGGGCTGCTTCCCAAGCCTGCTGTACAAGTCCTCAATTTCCTTTTTCTGTAGTGTCTGTAGGGCCTCCACCTCTGACAAGTGCCTGAGGATGCACCAGAAGCATGAGGGAGCTAGCCACACATTTTGCTCTCCCAAGTCCACTTGTCCTCCATCCTCCCCAGACTCACTTCTGCCGAAGACTCTGCAGCTCAGCCCAGAATTCCTCATCCTCCCCACTGCTCTCTGATTCCTCACTGCTCAGACACAGGCTGCTATAGGAGTAGTTTATCCACACTGGGCTGGGATGGCTCAGGAGTGGGGAGCTGTCCCCCACTTGGGATTCCTTCCCACTGTCCCTTTCCTCCTCCACTCCAGCTCCCAAGCCCTCGGCTGCACGGTCACTCTCGGCCAGAGCCTCCCTGGCCTCTGGCTCGTCTCCAGCACTATCCTCTGTGTCTGAGCTTTCTGAGGTCAGCTGAGGGGTTGGAGGCTTCAGGGAATCAGAGAGAGTTGGGGATGTTAGTTGCAGGGAAAGAGGCTCAGCTGGTTCTTTGGATGAAGTCACTTGGAAACGCCCAACAAGCTGGGGCTTTCCCTCTGTGGAGAGACAGGAAGGAGTCATGGAAGGAGGGAGAGAAATCAGTGGCGGCATATAAAATGGACTGAGGATAACGGGCCGGGGAAGATCAATGGTCAGAGGCCTCACCTTCAGAGATGGGTGCCAGTCTGGCTTCACCCAGGAGTGGCCGAGCAGGATTTGGGGTGGCCTACAAAGTGTGGTCCATGAGGAGAGAAATTCTCCAGAATTGAGCCCCCTTAAGCATCCCCCCTGGTTTCCTACTCACCTCACTCTCCAACTCAGCTGTCAAAGGTGAAGGCCTCTCCTGGCCACAGGGATCAAGGGGAGGGGAAGAGGGTAGGCTTGATAAGGGACCAGGAGGAGCTGGAGGAGACTGGGAAAGGAGCCCTGGTGAGGGGGACAGTAGGGACTGGGCCACAGTCATCACAGCCAGTGAGAAGGCACTAGCCAGAGAGAGAAGAGGGGCTGCTGTGGTGGAGGGGAGAGGGGAGGAGGAGGAGGAGCATGGAGGAAAGGAATGAGGCACAAGAGTAGCCTGGGAACAACTGGGAGAGAAGGCAGGTGGAGAACTGGGGAGGAGAGAACTCTGTGGAAACTGAGAGGCTGGGATTGGGAACTGGGTTGCACTGGGGGAGAATGGAAGTGGAGAGCTGGGGGGGTGTGGAGAGAGGTTTGAAACCTGGGAAGAAACTGGAGAAAATGGGGAGGGGCTGGGATGATATGGGGGAGAAGTGATAGGGAAGATGGGACTTGGGAAAACAGGGGTTCCAGGAGAAAATGGGATTCCAGGAGACAAAGGGGTTCCAGAAGAAGATGGGGAAGTGGAGAAGGCTGCCCAGCTGCTATGCTCCAGGGAGGTACCACTCTGGAACTCTGCTAGGGAGGAGAGTGTGTTGAGATTCCAATCTTCCATTCCCTGCGCCTTTCCCAGGAGCAACCCAAGGTTTGGGGAGAGTAGGGACAGAACTCAGTACATACCACTGGATGGGTTGGGGAGGGGGCCTGGGAGAACAGGCAATGGTGCAGGCTCCTGAGGGAGAGAAGGGGGCCCACAGTCACAGTGGGGAAGAGCCTAGTCTTGGTTACAGATGAGGGTTCTTAAGCCAGGACTCATGGACCTCTAGGAGTCCATAGATGGATTTCAGGAATTCAGAAATGTATTTGCTTAAATATTTAGAAGTAAAGAGCATGATGTCTACAACTTAAGTGATTCAGAAAAAAATATATACACACACATATAGAGGGGAAAAGAAAAAGCTAATGTGGCAAAAACAATTAGCAAATCTAGGCTAAGAGTATCTAGTTCTTTGTACAATTCTTGCAACTTCTTTCTGTAAGTCTGAAATTATTTCAAAATAATAAGTTAAAAGAAAAGTATGCATTGAACACATTTTTCTAAAACAAAGCTTTCATCGGAGGCCAAAAGCCACTGTTTTAGGTTTCCAGAAATGAAGAGGAGTTAGATCCAAGGCCACTAGTGAGGCAGAGAGTAATGAAGCCTTGAGCAGAGAATCAGTTTCCCCCTGGAGGTGTCCAAGGAGTCTGACCTGAGGGCCCAGGGGATCTTCAGCAGCCTCCACAGGGCCAGTATCTCTCTTCAGCAGGGTCTCCACTCGATGAATAATCTCCCGAATCCTGCTCAAGAATCCAGCTCGCTCCGAAGGCAGAATGAACTCATTATATACCTGGCAAAGGTTTATGAGAAAACATCAAACAAATCTAAATTGGGAAGCAGGAAGGGGAGGGAGGGTTCAGTTATCCCACTCATCTCTCCCCTCCTGCCCTGATCTGTAAAAGCCAGCCTTTCACCCTACCACTTCTGCCAACCACCAACCTAAAACAAGTATTTAATAAATATCTACTGTGTGTCAAGCACTGTGTGATGTTAGCTACTATCCTCCCAGTGGTTCTCAACCTTCCTAATGCCGCGACTCTTTAATACAGTTCCTCATGTTGTGGTGACCCCGAACCATAAAATTATTTTCGTTGCTACTTCATAACTGTAATTTTGCTACTGTTATGAATCGTAATGTAAATATCTGATATGCAGGAGGTATTTTCAGGGGTCGCGACCCACAGGTTGAGAACCGCTTAAGCTATAGAGGAAAATAGCTAACATTCATAGGATGCATGTATATACCAGAGACTTTATATATCTTATCACATTTAACACCGACAACAGCTTTCTGGGATCTTTATTAACACCCCCATTATAGAGTTAAGATAACCAATGCTCAAAGAGATTAAGATCAGTCTGCCCAAATTCACTGGATTTGCACCAGATCTACCCAAACCCAAAACCTGAGTTCTTTCCACTATTGCCTCCCATGCTTTTGGACACAACTCCTACTCTCATAGGACTTATAAAGTATCCCACACATGCGTGCGCACACATGTGCGCGGGCACACAAGTAAAAATAAGGCAATAAATGGTAAATATATCATTCAATTCCAAAAACGCTTAGTGAGCACATTCTATGTGTCAGGCATTGTGCTAGGTACTGTGAGGAATACAGAGAAGCATAAAACAAGGTCCTGGTCCTGAAGAAGGCCAAAATCTAATGGGAGAGACACATATACAGAACTCAATATATTATAAGTCAGCCCATGGTATGTGAGGCATATACGATCGAGGGATAGATAAAAAATGCTATTCCAGGTGGGGGAAAGGGAGACTTGTTGTTTAATGGGTACAGAGTTTCAGATTTTCAAGATGAAACAGTTCTGGAGATCTGTTTCGAAACAATGTGAATACACTTCACACTCATAAACTGTATACTTAAAAAGGATTAAGAGGACAAACTTTATGTTATGTGTTTTTTAACCACAATTTTTAAAAATGCTACTCCAGCCAAAACCGGTTTGGCTCAGTGGATAGAGCGTCGGCCTGTGGACTAAAGGGTCCCAGGTTCGATTCCGGTCAAGGGCATGTACCTGGGTTGCGGGCACATCCCCAGTGGGAGATGTGCAGGAGGCAGCTGATCGATGCTTCTCTCTCATCGATGGTCCTAACTCTCTATCTCTCTCTCCCTTCCTCTCTGTAAAAAAAATCAATAAAATATATATATTTTTAAAAAAGGAAATGTTTAAAAAAAAATGCTACTCCAAAGAGAGGGAGCAGGTCACTCTACCCCAAGAGGAGCTGGGGGAGTTGGGATGGCGTCACAGAGCTGAACCTTGAAGGATGAATAAAAAAGCCCTTTACTGAAGACCTACCATGTGTAGATACTTCTCCTGTATTTTATCATATCATATCATTTCCCTTCTCATATGTATTATATCACATTTCATAGAACATTTTTGCAAAATAGGTGTTATCACCTACATTTTATTGATGAGCAACTGAAGTTCAGAAAGGTTATGAAACTTGCCCAAGTTTTTAGTAAATTACAGTGAAAGTTGAACTCGGTCCTGTGTGAAATTCCACCCTTTCCTCTGTTCCATCCTGCTCATCAGGAAGAGAGGGGCAGTGTAGGCAGAGAGAACAGCATGAGTAATAGCTCTGAGGCATGAAGCGGCATGGCACATTCACAAAATAGTGGAGACGTAAGCACAGCTGAAAGTGCTGTGAATTTTAAAGACCATGTTCCAGAATACAGGATTTAATCTCAAGAGAATTCTGCTGCAGAGAAGTAGAGGGTGGCCTGATAAGGAGAGAAGAGAGAGCAATGGGTGCTGGGTGCAGGGGGTGGGGTCTCCGTGGCAGTGTGGATCTGAATGGGCTTGAAAGCCCAGTAGAGAAGTTTCTCAGGCAAGAGATGAGAGACCCCTGAGCAGATGGAGGCAAAAGCAGGAAAGCAGCCAGCCTCTTCAGAGGACTATTTAGAAACCAGGGTGACTGGAGGAAAGATCCTGGAAGGGTCCAGTAGCTTGATGGGAGGTGGTAAGCTTGCATGTCAAGTGATATTTTGTCTGTGTCCTGGACACAAAGTGAATGACAGGATAGAGGATAAGCTTTTTAGGAGAGAGTGCCGGAAGCCTGATATTTCTCCCATTTCCTTTCCTCTTTCACCCCAGAGGCTGACAGCCCCAACCACCCTTATTCCACCGAAACTGGTTTCCCACAAAGACCTTCTCCTGACAAATGCCAGTGTGATCTTGCCTTAGACTTCACCCTATGCCACCTCCTTGGAAACTCCTCACTCAGTTTTTACTAATCTTTCTGGGCTCCTCCTACTTCTCAGGTTTCATCGCGGTGTCTTTTGATGACCTATCCTCTCTCCCATTCTAGAACTGGGGGTATCCATGGAGACACACTTTCAGATCTTCTATGCCTCTGGTTTTGCAGGCCCATCTCCATTCACTCAGTTCTATACTGACGACTCCTGAATCCCTCTCTCTCTCTAGCCCTGCCTGACCCATACATATCCTGCTTCTATGGAGAATCTTATGTTGCCTGTCCGTTATTCAATTCATCATGACCCCTAAAAAAGCCCACTTTCATTTCCAACTTTCCCTCTCCTTTGATGGTCTACTTCCAATAGTCCCTCCAAGCTACAAGTCACCCTTGATATCCCCTCTCCCATATCAACTCAGCAAATATTTATTCAGCATCTATTATGTGTATTGTACTGTCAATAAATGACTGTATTACAGTCATTTATTTTCCTGAAACCCCTCCTCCCTCCCATATAATCTATTCTTTCCAGTCCACACCTGGCTCCTTGTATCCACCTGCCAACTGGATTCCTTACCCCCAACCTGCTCCCATGTCACATGGCAGATGGGTCTTCTTAAAACCTATTCTCACCATGTTACACTCTGTCTAACTCTCAGAACCTCCCACTCTACATGCCCAATCTCACTTTCATAAGGGCTACTGGAACCCTTAATTCTAGTGTCTCCTCAAGAAGCCCTCCCAATGCCATATTCTAAGTCACTATCTATTTCTATGCCTTTACTTATGCTGTACCCCAACTAGACATGCCTTTTCCACCCTTCACTGCTATTCTTACGCATCTGTCAGAGCTTGCACAAGTCCTACTTCTTCCCCTCCTGCCCACAGCCCTTCCTTTACTTACAGCCACAGTATCACATGTCTGGCATGTACTTCACTGTAGCTCTTGGGTAGACTCTATGTGAGTCTCAAATTGCTCCAGCTGAGGATCCAAACCTCACTAGATAAACAAATCTCTCCCAAAACAAGATGTCTTCAGTGACACTATGCTGAGTGCCATCAAGTGCTTTAAAAACACTTTTGCTGTTGGAGGGGAGGGAAGGGGAGGTCAGCACCAGGGAAGATCGGGAGGAAGACTGTTGTCCCAGACCCAAAGCTCAGTCCTCATCTTGCTCCCCCTCACCATGGCAGCTGCAATCTCTTCTGGGCTGTCCCCATCCAGATCAAATCGGAAGGTCACCATCTTGCTGTTGTGTGTCTGTAGCTGGCACTCAACCACTCTGTCATTCTGGTCTGAGACCTTCAGATTTAAATTCAGCAGAAGGGAGGAAGTCAAGCCCTCTGTCCGTATCGCAGATGCCAACCCCACTCCAACTAAGGGATGTGGCTGGATTGGAATTGAAGAGCAGACCCTGCTCCCAAAATTTGGTATTAGAAACTGGCTGCCAGTTGGGTACCAGTCATACACTGCTACTCTCCTTTTCTGGCTAACCTCCCCCATCTTCCTGAAAGTTCCCTCCTGGCCCCGAAGGTTGTTCCCCATCTCCTACGCCTTCCTTACACTAGTGACCCGAAGCCGGGATCGGGGTCTTCGCCGGAGATTTCTCCCTAGCGGTCTCCTCATCCGTCCCATCCCTTCACCCATGTCGCTAAGGCCTGATGCTGCATCGGAGGCATAGCTACAAAGGGAAGGAGACAGAAGGCGTGTCAGAGCAGACGCTGGGACCCCAGAGCTCCCTATGTCTCACCCTAGCACCCCAACTCATACCAAAACTTACCTATCTCCAGGGGAAAAGTCACTGCCAGGGCCAGAACGGGGAATAGATAGAGCAAACGTCTGAAATAGGATACGGGTTATTGAGATCAGAGAAAGATCACTGTTGGGATCCAGGGAGATGGTTTCAAGGATGTTAAGGTACTAGGGAGACGGAATTAAGGATGATGAGGACAAGAGTAATATTTCCAGGGCCATGGGGTGAGGTTATAGGGTTGGATTTCACCAGGAGGGAAATAGGTCATAGGCTTGGAATGGTTGGGAGCCCCCCAAGTGACCCCCTCTCACCGAGGGCAGGCAGAGATGGGACTCAGCGGGGCTGGATGGCACCCCCCTAGGGGGCTGAAGGGCAGGGTCTGAGGCATCCAGGAAGCCGGAGGAGCTGAGGTAGCCATCAGTCTCGCAATCAGCTGGTGGGGGAGGGGATCAGAAAAGGGGAAATAAAGGAGAGTGGTGGCAGGGGAGGGGGCTTGCCTGACAAGGAGGGGCCTGGAGTTGTCCAGAAGGAGCTCCAGGTCTAGACGTGGAAGGCAGGGTAAGTGACAGTGCTGCTGGGTTGAAGTGCTGGGGGGGAGGCAGAGGCCAAGGGTCTGGGACCTAGGTCCTAAGATCAGAGGTGACTTACAGGTGGTAGATGAGTAGCTGGCATGGCGGAAGAGGAATGGCTGGTGTTGGTCCGCCTCTGGCTCCTCCGGCTCAGCGGGGAAGGAACTGGGGAGACCAGGAGTCATGGGGATGGTTGCTGGCGGGGGTTCTGGCTCAGGGGCGAGGGCCTCCAGCTCCCTAGCTTTGCGCAGCTTCTCACGCTTTCGCTGAATAGCAGCCACCCGTTCGCGTACTGCACGGGCCACTGGCTGGTAATCAGCTTCACAGACTAAGCCCAGGGCCACCTGGAATAGGAAGGGTGAGGAACACAGTTTGGGACCCCCCTCAAAGATCCATCAGAACACTTTCTTGTGACCTCCAGGATATGGGACTAAGGGGAACCAACATTCATTGATTACTGACTACATCTGTTAACAGGCAGCTCCTTATATTATCAAGGTTAAGTCCTCCTAATAACCTCCTGAGATAGGTCTTATCAACCCCATTTTTAGAAACAAGTGACCAGCTCATGGTTATACAGTCAGTCAGTTGCTCTTGTTGGGGGGGAGTTACTGGCACCATTTGGAGACTTGCCAGGCCGGCTGGCTCAGTGGCTGAGCATCAACCTAAAATCATTCATGGTTCGATTCCCATTCAGGGCACATGCCCAGTCAGAGGCGTGCAGGAGGCAGATGATCAATGATTCTCTCTCATCATTGATGTTTCTCTCTCACTCGCTCCCTTCCACTCTGAAATCAATAAAAATATTTTTAAAAAAATATTTGGAGACTTTATAGTTGTCATAACTGGGGGGTTGGGGGAAGGTGCTACTGGCATCTAGTAAGTAGAAGCCAGGGATTCTTCTCAACATCCTACAATGCACGAGACAGTCCCTAAAACAAGATGTCAGTAGTGTCAAGGTCAGGAACGCCTATAAGTAATGGGTCAGGATTTGGGCTCAGGTCAGTGCTATGAAGACCTGTTCTTATGCCACATTTCAAACACTTTCTCGGGTTCCTGACCCAGACCCACATGGATGAGCCCCATCCTTTCAACTTCCATTTTTCTATTGAGAATCTTATATTCTCTCCTGTCCCCCTGAGGCCTTCCTAAACCAGCCCCCCAATCTCCTTCCCCCACATCTTCTACCTCCCATGTATACCTCTCCTGGTCTCCCAGTTTCTGTTCATCATCTCTTTTTCATTTCAGCAAGCTTTGCTGGGCACATAAAGGAGGTCGGGCAGGGTCTGACTGAAAGGCTGAACAACCCGAGTTTAGATCCAGCTTTGCCACTTACTTGGCACCTTGGACAAGTTATTCAACCTCTCTGAGCTTTCTTTTCCTCATCAATAAATCAGGATAAAATCATCCCATGTCAGGGTTGTAACAATGATCAAGTGCATGTGAAAGTGCTCCAAGCTGTGTACACATGTGGGCTATTAATGAGTGCCTACCATGTGTCAAGCACTGTCAGGGACAGAAAAACCAATACAACAAAGTCCCTGCCCTCAAGGAGCTTATGGTCTAGTAGAGGAAAAGAGAGAAATGTACCCTGGTGGAAAACAAGACCTGTGATCATGGGTCCTGTAACTGAGGACCTGCGGACGAGAAAAGCAGCACTTAATTTTGACTCTAGGGATAGGCTTCCTGAAATTGACAGTTCTGAGCATGGAGGAAGAAAGAGAAATAAAGAAACCTAAAAACAAGAGATGGGGGAAAATATGGAGGGGGGGGGATACGAAAAAATAGATA